TTTATCGCGTTTTAAATTTTGTAAATTTTCACCCGCTTAACAGTATTTTAATTTTAGATCCGCTAGATATAGTAATAAATTTGCTTTTAAAAATGAGAAAATCGCAAAGATAAACATAAACATAGACCTTATATAGCAAGCTTGTCCCGCTAAGTTTGGACCACGTATAATGATATAATTGATGGTCAATCATATCACGTTATAGTATTAAATTTGAATTAAATATTGTATTGGATGAGGAGAATGAGGCAGTTCTTTGTGTAGTGTCCAAGTCGGCAAGTCCCCATGTTTGAAGTGGTTGAATGGATTAGGAGGGATGACTCACTTGTTTGTCACCGTGCACCAAGTGGATGGCTGATTGCTTCAATAATTAAAATTGTGGAAATTATTATTTTCTTTATTCCACCACCGTAATCATCTAATATTCTTCTCATCTTTTAAGTGGGATTCAGGGAATTGCTTTTTGTTGAATATGTATGTCACATGTAAAAAGTCTTAGTATATACTCCTATATGAAAAATGTGAAACGGAATACGTGATAATTTTAAAAATTGTAGAACACAAAATATGCCGAGTCAAACTAATTTGGTTGGCATGAGTGGTCATGCATTCTCATTCCTTAAGAAAGGTCGGGAGTTCAAATCTCCTCTCGTATAGGAAAATTAATCTGGCCAATATTTCTCCTCTTAATGGAGATTAGTACGAGTTTAAAAGTGCCTCCTCCAGCAATTATATCGTGGTCCACATCGGCCCTTAACGGAGTTCGACATATTATTTTAATATTACACCACGTCGGCCCTTAACGGAGTTCGACATATTATTTTAATATTATCAAATGAAACTGTAATTGAATTGAAATGAAACTATAGTTGTTTTTATATTATCAAATGAAAGTGTACGTAATTGAATTGAAATGAAACTATAGTTGTGTTGAAATGAAACTGCAGTGTATATAAAATAAAATGAAACTAAATAACAATTTCACATATTTGAGTGTATATTGTCCAATGAAACTGTAGTTATATCGAAATAATACTATAATTATGTTGTAATGAAACTATACTGTATATAAAATGAAACTGAATAACAGTTTCACATATTTGAGTTTATAATGTCGAATGAAACTGTAGTTATATTGAAATGAAACTGCATGGTGTATATAAAATGAAACTGAATAACAGTTTCACATATTTGAGTGTGTATTGTACAATGAAATTGTAGTTATATCGCAATGATACTATAATTGTACATGTGTTGTAATAAAACTATAGTGTATATAAAATAAAACAGAATAACAGTTTCATATATTTGGCTGTATAATGTCGAATGAAAATATAGTTGTTTTGAAATGAAACTACAGTGTATATAAAATGAAACTGAATATATTATACAAATAGAGCTACTTTAGGCGGAACGGCACAGAACGAGTGTCGTTTCTTTTCATTAAAATTTATACAATAAATCTTATACTACAGTAGTACCTTATTAGCATTAGCTAGTCTGTATTTTTCATATGGAAACATGTTCTCACTTGAAATATATATTAAAAAGAATATTACAAATATACTGTCTATTATTATTATTATTATTATTATTATTATTATTATTATTATTATTATTATTATTATTATTATTATTATTTTGTTAGACCATGAGAAGAAATGACACCTGTTCCACGCCGTTTCACATAAAGTAGCTCTGTTTGTATAACATATTCAATTTCATTTTATATACACTGTAGTTTCATTTCAACACAACTACAGTTTCATTTCGATATAACTACTCTTTCATTCGACATTATACACTCAAATATGTGAAACTGTTATTCTGTTTCATTTTATATAAACTATAGTTTCATTACAACACAACTACAATATCATTTCGATATAACTACAGTTTTATTGTACAATATACACTCAAACATGTGAAACTGTTATTCCGTTTCATTTTATATACACTGCAGTTTCATTATATTTCTACACAACTACAGTTTTATTTCAATATATATAACTATAGTTTCATTCAACATTATAATCTCAAATATGTGAAACTGTTATTCAGTTTCATATTATATATACACTATAGTTTAATTACAACATAACTATAGTATCATTTCGATATAACTACAGTTTCATTGGATAATATACACTCAAATATGTGAAACTATTATGCAGTTTCATTTTATATACACTGCAGTTTCATTTTAACACAACTATAGTTTCATTTCAATTCAATTACAGTTTAATTTGATAATATAAAAACAATAAGTGAGACAGTTTGAAAATCATTCTAAACTTTTTTTTTTTTGAAAGGAAAAACTTCATTTAAAACTCAATAGAGTAATTGTTCAATACAAGATGAAATGGTAGAAAAGCAACAAGAATGACCAGAAAAAAAACTAGCTGCTCTAGCTAAGGCATGAACACAATTGTTCGTTGATCGAGGGATAAACTCAATAGACACTGCTTCAAAGTGTCGTTTCAGAACCTGACATTGATTGATAATGTTTCATGCATAGGATGTATCCAGGAGATTTTGATTAATGAACCTGCATACTATATATATATATATATATATATATATATATATATATATATATATATATATATATATATATATATATATATTGGATCCGGTGAGGTTACCTTTGTCAAGCGAGGTGGTGAGGCTTGATCTGGTGCGTTTATTTGAGTTTTTGGATGGATTAGATTTGGTTGAATATAATGCCTTTTGCGTGTGATTTATTTGCATGTGGGTGTTGTTGTCTTTTTGGTAGTGTCTTAATTAGGGTGTAATAATTAATTAGCAGATTTTATGGGCTTGTGCACTACTTAATTATGGTATTGTATCGGGTGTGTGCAATTTGTTTCCCCGTGTGTGCATTTGGCTTCAATTCTTTGTTATGCTGTGTGTGCAATTTGTTTTCCCGTGTGTGCGTTTGGCTTAAATTCTTTGTTATGACGGGTATGATCAATCAGCAGTATGGTTGTGGTTTTTGTTGCATGTTGATTCCGTTATTCAATTTAAAAATTAATGAACAGAAGTTTGTGTTGTGTTATGAAGTTTTTCTGTGTGCATTTTATGTGTTCGGCTTGTGCGTTGGGTCACAAATAGGTTCAATTTTCAGGCCAAATATCTCTTATTTGGACTGTCAACTAGAATTGAGGCAAACTTTTACCATATTTTTATAGCTTGGTTTTTGTTTTTTTACGTAAAGCAATTTTGGTATGTGTATTTTAATTGTAACATGTTATGATCTATTAACTTTTGGTGTGTTGTTATTTTATATATTTATTTGGTGCTTTTTGTTGTTGTGGTCTGTGCGATTGGGGTTTACAAGGGGTTTTTTTTTTTTTTTTTTTTTTTTTTTTTTTTTTTTTTTTTGGGTTTAAAAGTTACACTGGATTCTAGTAGGCCTGACGTTTGTTCGGTTTAGTTTTTGAGCTTGTGCGTTGGGTTCTTAACTCAACGCACCGACTTAACTAAATGGCTGCACAGGCAGAACATAACCCATAACACACTTCTATTAAGGTTGCACATACCTCTTTCCGGTTGCACCTTCATTGTTGAGGAGATATCCCACCGCAAAATACTATTGCTGAGTACAAATGTTTAAATACAACTCACACTCTATCAACAATAATTTATAACCGTAAATATATTATTCAACACCATAATTAGTTGATCCTTAGCATGGAATATATTCCAATCTATTCCTAACCATATATAGCTCTAATATTACAATTACTTATACACCCTTATGCATAGACTACTATCATAGATGGAAAATAAATCTCTTTCAATCTCACCCTTTGATATGTTATGATTTAATTGATGAGATGAGGCCCCATTATCTCACCCATCTAAGTGACCTCATGGGATCCGAAGCCTAATATATATATATATATATATATATATATATATATATATATATATATATATATATATATATATATATATATATATATATATGGTAAGGTTCCAGTGAGAACATGTGCTTAGGTGAGAACGTGAGAACACATCACGTGCATCCATCTAATATTTTTTAATGGTTTAGATTAGATTAAGTGTGTGCAAACGCGCACTAAATGTGTGCAAACGCGATTTAGTGTGTTTGCACACATTTAATGCGCGTTCGCACATACTTAATCTAATCTAGAACATTAAAAAATATTAGATGGATGCACATGATGTGTTCTCACGTTCTCACCTACGCACATGTTCTCATATGATCCTAAGTCTATATATATATATATATATATATATATATATATATATATATATATATATACACACACACACACACACACACACACACACACACACACACACAAAATTTGAAATTAACGCATATATATACACAAATTTCAAAACAAAAAAGGATAAATCAGTATACCTAACCTTGCACTGATACCAAATGAAAACTATTACAATAGGCATTGAATGATTTAACCAATACTTTTATCGGAAGCATTAAAATACTAATCTTATTCCATGAGAGATTGATGAAGCTTTTAGCCTTTTCTTCTTCCCAGCTCCTTTTTTCAGGTTTACAGAGTGTTTTTCCCTCTGGTCTTTCACGTTAAACTTTCACCGTGATAGGATAAGAAAATAGTCTATGCCCTATATATTGCGTGTTAAATCATAACTGGCATTTCAATATTAATCATTGGAATTATAGCAATAATGTGCCATAAACCTATACAATTAAATAGGCTTAAATAGTCTCATTTGAAAGTTAGGGAAGAAAATAATAACCCCTGATTGTACATATTTTATTGACATTACCTATCACAATAAAATTTTCATTGTTCAAATCACTTAATACATGAGCCACAATACCATTAGAATAAAATATTCTAACATATAATAATAACAACAATGTTTTATTAGTAGACCGAAAATAAGTAATCTGTCTCGATCAGATCCTAATTGTGGATGCTTGTCTGGTTTAATTGAGTAGAATATCCAAGAATCGGAGCCGCCAGCGGAGTATAATGTCTAGGTGCAATGTACCTAGGGAGCGGATTTGGGAATCGGAAAGTGATATGGTACGATATGATTCAAAAGTAACCTACGCTCATTCTCGTCTTTTATAACACACACACAACGGGGTCACGAAGAACTCGCTACGAAAGAACAGGGGCTAGCCGTCGTCTAACAACGTAGGAGAATTGAGAAACGAACGAGTTAACTATTCCTTCTCCGATCGATCGATCAGATCATAGTATTCCAATGGCGGCGACGATCAAGTACGGGATCATCGGCGTCGGAATGATGGGAAGGGAGCATCTCATCAACCTCTACCATCTCAGAGCAGAAGGCGTAGCCGTCGTGTGCATTGCCGACCCACACGTCCCTTCCCAACAACATGCCCAGAAGCTGGCGCTCTCCTTCGACTGGCCTATCCAGGTATTCAATTCAATTCTCACCCGGCCCCGGTTAAACAAGAAACAATAATAATGATAGAAAGGTGAAGACAAGATTTACGTGATGACATATATTTATAGGCAGACAAACTCATATTCTTAATCCCTATATGAGACAAGCTCAACAAATTGGTACATGGTTAATTTGGTGAAGGTGTTTTCCGGGCACAAGCAGCTGCTGGAGAGTGGGCTGTGCGATGTGGTGATTGTTTCCAGTCCAAACATGACTCATTACCAGATTCTAATGGACATTCTGAACCACCCCAAACCCCATCACGTTCTGGTGGAGAAGCCTCTTTGCACGTCAGTTCAACACTGTAAACATGTACTGGAAGCCGCTAGGCAGAGATCAGATATGTTGGTTCAAGTCGGGCTGGAGTATAGGTACATGCCGCCTGTGGCTAAACTCATAAATCTGGTAAAAACTGGATCTTTAGGACGTGTGAAGATGGTGGCTATCCGAGAACACCGTTTTCCATTTCTTGTCAAGGTAAGCTAAAACGAAATAAATTTCAATTTCAGACAATCCCCGAATATCTAATATGCCATGAATCATTTGGAGTGACATATATATTGACAGGTAAACAATTGGAACCGGTTTAATTGCAACACCGGAGGCACTCTGGTTGAGAAATGCTGCCACTTCTTTGACCTTATGAGGCTGTTTGTGGGTGCGAATCCTGTTCGTGTTATGGCTTCCGGGGCTATGGACGTGAATCACAAAGACGAAGTATATGATGGGAAGGTATATATGTTAAGAGGAATCGAGAAGAAAAAAAACGAATTTACTATAGTACTAATTAATTAATTTGTTACAGGTGCCAGATATAATAGATAACGCTTATGTTATAGTGGAATTCGATAATGGATCCCGGGGCATGCTTGACCTGTGTATGTTCGCGGAAGGGAGTAAAAACGAACAAGAAATATCTGTTGCAGGTGATATTGGCAAGGTAAGAAAATAAACTAATACTGTTTTACATAGTACAATTTCTTTACTCAATACTGATTGCTTTAGTTTGCATATTTTACAGGGTGAAGCCTTTGTCCCTGAAAGTATAGTCCGGTGGGGCAAACGAGAGGATGGTCGCGACGGTGTCCAAACCATAAACATTAAGGATGATCGAATCAAGTAATTATAGTCATTCCTAGCCTCTGTTATGTTTAGTTTGGCCTGTTGGATCATATTTAATTTTTAACAAATTTGGTTGGTCCGACAGGTATGACGGTTTGCATCATGGTTCTAGCTATTTGGAGCACCTTCAGTTCTTGGGTGCAATCAGGGAGGAAGGGAGAAGAGCTCCGGCCGTGGGTTTAGATGATGGGTTGATTTCTGTAGCTATAGGAGTGGCTGCTCAGCTCTCAATTGAGAAGGGCAGATTTGTTGCCATCAAGGAGGTTCTAAGTGTCTAAGAAACTCAATCATGTCTTCTATTATTGGCCCTATTTGGTAAAATAGTTGGTCAATTTTGGAGTATTTGATCACTATTAGTTGTTTGACTTGGTTAAAAAATCAATATAAATGTTTGATTAATTAACTTTTTGTAATTTCAAAATGTTAAAAATTTAAAAAACTACTCAAAACAATTTTTTTAATTAGCCTTTTGAAAAAATAAATTATACCCAACAACTATCAACTAATAGCTAATTTAGCAAATATATTTTTACAATCAGCTAATGTTATTAACTCAACCAGCTAGCAGTTAACCCTTTACCAAACCGTGTTACTCCCTATGTTATTTTACCAAATGGATGGCTGTCCATTGTTCTCTCTCTGCACTATCCCTGGTCGCATGCAGTATAAATATATGTTGATGGAGGCCATAGGCCTCCGTTTTCTCTCTGCAGTATTGCCAGTCTTCAGTCTATAGTCCCAATGTTGGATAATTGGCTAAATAAATGAAGCCGCCACATACTACTTCCAGATAAGCAGATAATACAAACTCTAAATTAAATGGCAGATTGGCAGGCAACTCATTGCCCAATTTCAAATGGAAGTAAATTGCAGGTGATAGGGTAAGCAATCAATTGTCTGCCAACATCCATAATTAGCCGCACCAGCTACGAAACAAAATTTTTCCTCTCCACTGCTATTTTTGTCCAAAGATAAATCCAATTGCGGTTTGCTATTAAAGGTGAGGCAAATTATGCTGGGGGACCTTGGTCCACCTTATAAGTGGACCCAAATCCAAAACATGTGTATGGAATAACGGTGCCGTTAGTATCACCACTCAACTAATGATATTCTTTTTTTATAAATATAGAGTTCAAAAATTATTTTATACTGTTGAATATAGAGTTCTATAATTGTGAATATAGAGTTATGAAATTGTACATATAGAATTATGAAATTGTAAATATAAAGTTATGCAATTGTGAATATAGAGTTCAAAAATTGTGAAAATAGAGTTCTGCAATTGTAAATATTGAGTTCTGTAATTTTGTATATTGAGATCTAAAATTGTGAATATTCAGTTCTAAAATTATGAATATAAAGTTCAAAAATTATGAATATAGAGGAACGAATTCCGAAGACAAACGACAAGTTAACGGTAAGGAAATATGCAATTTTTTTTTAAAATTCAGACGGCGTCGTTTTGCTCAAAACGATACCGTTGTTTTTTAGCCGGGTCCACCTTGCAAGGTGGACCTGGGTCCATGGCATAACAATTGTAAAGGTGATCACAATTCACAACTAAATTTAATACAAAATTGCGGCAAATTATTGTGTGGACCACAATGTGCACCATAACAAAAAGTACATTTTTAATATATTAAATGTACATTATTTTTGTACTGAATGTACATTATACAATATAATGTATACTCAGAACAAAAATAATGTACATCCCCTGAATACAATATACATTATTTTTGTATTGAATGTACATTATTTTTATACTGAATGTACATTATTTTACAGTAGACAAAATATGGTCCACACAACTTGTGTGGACCATGGTCCACCCAATAATGATTGCAAAATTGTGCACCCAAAAAAAATAAAAGAAAAAAAAAAGAAGACAAAATTAAGGTGTGTTTGGTTTATAAGTTTATACACTAGGGATGACAATTAAAATCATAATTAGTGTTTCGTTGACAACTTTTTAAAACACAACTATGTGATTTAATTATCCTTTCAATTAAAAATCTCATTTCCTAATTAAAAATAAATATGGGAAAAGGGTCAAATAGGCCCTCGAACTTTAGCTTAAAAGTCAATTAGGCTCCTAAACTTTTTAAAGGTGCAATTACACCCATCAACAATTCATTTAGGTGCAATGAAGCCCAAAATCAGGTTAACGACCTGCTATCGCAGGTCATTAGGGTTCAGGCCACCTTCTAACGAAATTTCCGGCAGGAAAAAAGTGACCGGCGACCGACCGACAAAATTTCCGGAAAAAAAAGTGACCAGCGACCGTTTGTCGGTCGCCGGTCACGGAGAATGTCATTTTTTTTTTTTGTCAAAAAATTCGTCGGAAGGTGGCCTGAACCCTAATGACCTGTGATAGCAGGTCATTAACATGATTTTGGGCTTCATTGCACCTAAATGAATTGTTGATGAGTGTAATTGCACATTTAAAAAGTTTATGGGCCTAATTGACTTTTAAGCTAAAGTTTAAAGGTCTATTTGACCCTTTTTCCAATAAATATTATTTCATCTTATAGGTAATATAATTTTTAAGTTTGGATTAGCGCTTTTAAATTTGAGAAAAGGGTCAAATAAGCCCCTAAACTTTACCTTAAAGGTCAATTAGCCCCCTAAACTTTAAAAAAGATCAGTTAAACACTCAAACATGTTAAATTTGGTCAATGAAGCCCAAAAACCGGTAAATGACCTGTTATTACCGGTCATTTTAATTCCGGCGACGAAATCCGGCCACCGGTGATAGATTCCGGCGATCGGCGAGATTTTCCGGCCGTCCGGTCATCTTTCATCGGAGAAGACGACCGGACGGCCAGAAAATCTCGACGGCCGCCGGAAAAATTCGCCGGTCGCCGGAATATGTCACCGGTGGCCGAATTTCGTCGCCGGAATTAAAATGACCTGTAATAACAGGTCATTTACCGGTTTTTGGGCTTCATTGACCAAATTTAACATGTTTGAGTGTTTAATTGACCTTTTTTAAAGTTTAGGGGGCTAATTGACCTTTAGGGTAATGTTTAGGGGTCTATTTGACCCTTTTCTTTTTAAATTTTTATTTTGATTTTTTGTTCATATTGGTGCTCTGGATGTCAATTGTCTTTTTTTTTTTTTTTTTTTTTTTTTTGGCATTTTTAAAACATTTATTTTTATTATATGTCATGTCATACATAATCAAACATCAATATTGATAATAATTTTAATTCTACCCTACTACCAAACATGTAAAATACTTCACCAAAACTAATTACCATTATCAAGTACTAGTATTTTCACCCGTGCATTGTACGGAATAGATTTGTTATAATACTTTAAAAGTATTTGGATCGATATACAAATATAAATTATAACAACGAAATGCAGTTAATGAAATGGGTTATATCGATTAAGTTTTCTAATGTTATCCTTGCTTGAATTCGAGTAAATAATTGCTCAATTACCAGTGCGATGCGCGTGCAATGTGCGTGAAATGCGCGTGTATCTCCCTCAGCTCATCCATCGCCTCCTACATCCTAACACTATTAGCCCTCATTTCTCCCTCAGTTCCTCCGATCTTCCTCAGCTCATCCATCGCCTCCTGCCACAGCTCCCCTTTCTCAGTACTTCCATTGCCTTATCCCACAGTTCCCCCTCAGCAATGTCAGAAATATTGGGATTATTTGGGATCAGAAATATTGACCAGTTGGGACAAAAAAAAATAATCGTTGGTGAAACTTGAAAGCATTTGACTATATTCTCGCACTCTCGTCTCCTTCGACCAACGACCATCTTCGTCCACCGCCGACTGGCCACCACGAGCACGAGGTCTACCAGTGTTCTACTCCTCTCAGTTCTTCCTCCATCGCCTTCTCCCACAGCTCCCCCTCGGCAAGGTCATGACACTCATCTTCAATGGCCGCATTCCCCTTCCATTCGCCGGATTTAGGGCTCAGAATCCCCTTCCCTTCGCTGGATTTAGGTTTCGGACTCCTGCAATATTGATGTAAGAATATATAGTTTTCCGATTCCCCCAATTACTTTCATCACCGCCTCATCCACCACTGCCGCCACCTCACCATTACCGTCATCGCCTACCTTCCCCTCCATGCCGCTTTTCCTTCCATCCCCACCCCCCATTCTTCGATTTCTTTAATAATCACGATTCCCAACCAACAACCCACTCTAGATCCCTGGTCAGATCTATCCCCTAGGTTGCCGCCGCCTCATCCTCTTCATCATAGCCAAACCCCTTTTTTGCTGCCCCTCAGCTCAATGAGCAGATAATTCTAGGTTTATCGGTGATGATTGTATTATTAAAGCAATTATTATGTTTTTGTTGTTGATTAATACATCTCTCTTTTTTGTTTTGTTTCCAAAATTTAGATGGATTGTTGCTGTATATTCGCAACAAATTTTATGTATGTTGTTTTAAATCACTTTTTTTTTTCTTTTAATTTTAAATGTATTTTGTGCCGGTCATTGTTTTTTATTTAAACCATTGCTTCATTGATATCAAAATGCTAAGTACAAAAGATCCAATAGTGGTGCCTTAACAATAAAGGCCCAAGCCTTAACCTACCAAACAAAAGAGCCAAAGCCCATTAAAACATGGTAATAAAATTCTACCAACCAACTAAATCAAGCAATCCAAATAACCCAACTTCATCCTCTTATATCGGCCCAAAATCAAGACAATTTTTTTTTTTTTTTTTGAATGCTACTAGCTCTATTACATTGTAGTATCTGTTCATATACTTTCTCAACCTACTGAAACACAAAGAGCCAATAACGCTTTCACTGAGGCTCGAAATCACAACCTTCCACTTGGAAGTCCACCCCGGATACCATTAGACCACATAGTCCTGGTCAAAATCAAGACAATTGATTCTTTATTTTTGGTAAGAAAAAGGGCCGAAGCCCCGGGGATTAATAAAATCTACTAAAAGTTACGCTGTTGGCATCACGAACCAAGAGCGGTTTGATGTCATCAGGAGGTTGATCGAGGATCGTTGTACCACTATAAAGACAATTGATTCTAAAAATATATAAATAAAAATATAAAGACATCCAATAAAAGCACTAATTAAAAGGGGATGATACCCTTATTTAAAAAAATATAAAATAAAAATAAAAATATAAAAGCACTAATTAAACATTTAAAGGGGATGAGAAGGAATAAGGGAATAAAAGGGAATGATACCCTTATTTTATTTGGATACGAGATTTTCAATTAAGTGAGTATTTGAAATCCGTTATATCGTGCACCGCGGTACATAATCGATTATGCACCGCGCGTCAAAACGACGCCGTTTCTGC